AAAAAAAATGCTGAAAATCGTAAATCTTATTTGAATTCTTCTAGAAAAAATCGTTTTCCATCTTAATATAATTATTAATTCCAACAATCGAATTTTAAAATGAAATTAATTAATAAAAAAATGATTTATTACCAGTATTATTAATGATTAATGTCATTATTGGAAAAATAGGGGAGACGAGGGCAATTTAGTGGTTTTCCTGGAAAATTCCGAGGGCTAGAATTAATTGGATCAATTAATATTATTCTCACTTGCATGAATTGTCTCTGATTGAGGGCTGAGTCTAGAGACTGGGTGAAGGTTGCGACCGAGAGAATAATGTTCAACTATACCCGGAAAGTCGGTATATAACCATAAAAATCGATCCAGTTCCATGAACGTTTACTATGTAATCGGTGAGTTAACGAAACAAAACTTCTTACCTAGTTTTTAGTAATTATTCAGTCGAACAAACAAAAGTTTAACTCGTCCATGAACATTCGGCAGCAATTCACACAGTCATTCCTCATCAATTATTGGATTGAGTGCATTAATAAAATTGGGTGAAATGGACTGTTTCGGTATCGGTAGTGATAACGATGATTGATGATTTTTCGTGGTATCGAGCATTCATTAATAACCAATCGAATTATTCATAGGGACGGAAAAATTACGACGATTAGGGAAAATGGGAAACAGGGGAGTCAAATTAAAAAATTAATCTATTGTGTTCTCATTTTTTCAGATATATCTCAGAATTTTGGGGAGATAGCGATATTTTTGTAATTACCTTTTTTGTAGTACGCATTCAGTTCTATGAATGAAGTTCTAATGAAATTTTTCGTTCTAGCTTCGATTTCGAAATATTTGAGCAAAAATGTCAAACTGGAAATTTCTATTTTGACATTTTTATCAAAAAATGGATAACCGCCAAAAAAAGTCCCAACCATTTCCCGCTGGAGTCGATAATTATCGAGATAAATCGAGAACAAAAGGAAAAGTCTCGCTCGACTGGGCGTGATTCCAAATTCTCCGCCATAATATTTTTCTCAAAGTAGCATTCAATCATCCGCGTAATTTTACGATGATATTTTATTTGCAAAAGCCCTAGTTACCCCCCTAATCTCATTTACCCGTCTAATCCCGCACTTTTTCGCATGTACCGCGTAATTTATTCGTGGGAATTAACGCGACAACCTTTACGAGGTATTAAATCAGGACTGAAAATAGTCTTCATCTTTGCTCTGGAGTTTTCCCATGTACCCGGAAGAAATGCATATATACCCACCAGACGGGTGAAAATGGGTATTTTCTCTCTTTATCTGTGTGAATACCTATTATTTTTGCTCTTATGTAAAGGCACCGCGGGTCGAGCAAAAATAGCTGTTCGATCGATGGCCCGTACCCACCACACATTTTCCACACACATCTGACCTTCCCTCGCCTTTAAACGCAACTCTCGTATATAATACCATCATTGCCACATTGTTGTACCTCAGTGTCTTTATTATCACGTTATTTCACTGCCTTTTGCTTCCGAAAGGAGGCATTGTTGTACACTATTTTTCCATTTTCTAATTTTCATTGCAAATTGTCTGGAACGCTATGAAATGTGAAAAAAAAACTTGGGAAAGTTGAGAAAATATAAGGAAAAATATTTTTCACTGATTACCAATCATTTTTTATCCCTCTGATCACTCCTTTCCGTTTTTACGTACTTGTGCAAACAAGCGCTACTTTACGCACTAGGTGCAGAATGTACTATTGAGTGTATTTTATACTCAATGCAATTATACAGCTGATATCCTTGAATTATATGGTTTGAGTATATTTTATTTGATTGAATATATTATTTTCAGAGTGTGATACGCAATTTCTTGTATATAATATAATCTTGTATGTAATAACTAAAATTCTGAGGAAATTTACTCGGGATCTTTCTCTGTCGTAAAGAGAGTCCGCACAGCGAAGGTTGAAACCACTGGACAAATAAATAAAGCACTTTGGGTCGGTCCATGATTATAATTCATGAAGTAACTTCATCGGATAGTTGTGATGGATAAGGGGGAGGGGAAATGGAAAGAAATTGTAGAATACAATTCATAATACACTTACCGGTCTTTCTCGTTGTTTGTGCAAATGAAAGAATGAGAGGCTTCCATGACCTGAGGCTGGAAACTTGTTCATTGTAATTGGAGGATTACTCCAGAGTTTCCAGGGGTTTATTCACCTCCGGGTCACGTGTATCTCTCGAGTTTCTCTTGGATTTTTTTCGAAATGTTCTCCTCGGGTTTTTTACCGACGAAAATTCCAACTATTTCGTGGCTGGATGAATTTATTTTTTTCACTTTAATATTTCATTACGGGATTCAATTAATTTATTTTTTTAAACAAGTTCATTCTATTAATATAAATAGGTATAAAGGGAAATAATAAATAATAGATAAATATATGGAGAATAAACAAAATTTATTTATATAATTTTTCATAGACAGAATGTTGGATTGTCAATAATAAGGTTAAGGAAAAATTATTTTTTATATGGTATTGAAATTTTTGAGATTTAAATATTAACTTGGGAAATTTTCACGTAATTTTTATTGGAGTTTTTGTGTCCGTGCGTAAATGCAGAAAAAAGAGGTGGTGATTAGCGAGCCAATGAGTTGGAGACCGAGGGTAAGACACGCCATAAGAGAAGTTTAACACGAATGGGGCCAGGGGGCCAAGGCTATCATCACCTGGGTTGACTGTCGGGTTGAATGCAAACCTCTTGCTGCACAAATGCCGGTAACGCTGGATTATAAATAAACTCGATACCGAGGCTACAATGCCACTGGCTACATACAAATCCCCCTGTTACCCCCCTTTTGCCCCCTGTCCCCTTTCTCTTCATCTGTCATTACAGCCAGCCATTCGCACTCTATCATGTGCAATGAAAAAAAAAATTATTAAATAATGGATATTTTTAATAATTTTAAATGAAAATAAAGGAGTAAAACGCTTTTACACAGTCGAATTTGAAATTCTTGAAAAGCTCGAGTCCTGTAAAGGTCGTGTGAATAAAAAACCATTTTTTTTCCAGAAAAAAAAAGTGTTGATGAAACTCGATGTTATAATCCCAGTAGAGTAGCTATTGATCTGCGCCTTGTGAATTCCCTCGCTTATTTATCTTCCAGCAACTTGATACTCTCGGTGTTGTAAGATTTGTTGACATTCCGCCTGTCAATATCCCCGGAATTTCTCGAGTTTCCCCGCGGGCATTTGACAATCCCCAAAAAATCGATGAATGCGCTGAGAAAAAAATATAATTCACCCAGGGATTGATATTCTTCACAGAATACAATAATATATTTTTTCTCAGTATACTCCATTTTTGGCATGTCAAAAGGCCTCTCCAACTCCACAAGAAGAACTACCCTCACAAGTTCATGAGAAGATTTCTAAAAAAAAAACGATAATCCCTGCTGAGACGTTGCATTATTCACATCCGGTTGGAATTTCGACTCTTTTCCGCGTGCAAAAAACTACCGGAATTCGCACCAGTCATGCGGATAATCCGGATGCGATCCATAAGTCTCCGCGAAACACTAAAAACCGAACAACACTGGTGGATAAAAATTTGAATTTTATGAACTGTCGTCTATAAAATTTTACTATTGACTTTCGTGAGAGTGAAGATTTGGGGGAACTCCATGAAAAGAGAATGGAAAATGAATAGACCAATGAATAGATAATAAATATATGAATCGTATATGGTATAACAATTAAAGGAAATTTGGTTGATGAAAAAATTGAATTTTTCTCTCTTTTCTCAATTTTTTCTCCCAAAAGTCCCAGTTTAATTATTCA